AAACTTTGCTTTCCTCCGTCAGGATGTAACATTTATAAAAGTAGCACCTCATCTATCTTGTTATTCAGGAAAAACAAGAGGAATCTTAGAACACTGTCTCCTCTCTTTTCCAGGGTACATACCACCGTTCTAGCAATCGCACTTTCAGACACTGGAGGGAAAGTGCGCACTATAGCTACAAAAGTGACTCATAGGATGGAGAGAAGAACATAGAAATTTTAGCCAGTCTCATGAGTTTTGGTGACAAGGGACCTTGTTTCCAGTACCTGTTTTGCTAGCATGCTCAGAACTTTTATCATCAGCAAATATATAGGGAGGATTGCGGTATGGATAAAATGGAGGCAAGAAATAGAAGTAAGACAAAATTTTAGTCTTTAGGGGATATTATGTTTTGTTTTATTTTATTTATTTCTTTACTTATTTTTGTTTTTTTGAGACAAGATTTCGCTATGTAGTTCAGGCTGGCCTTGAGCTCACTTTGTAGCCCAGGCTGGTCTCAAACTTGCAATGATCCTCCTGCCTCAGCCTCCCTAGTGCTGGGATTACAGGCATACTCCACCATGCCTGGTGATATTATGTTTTAGTAATGTTAAGCATCTCATTTACAAAGTGATGTTTTAATAAAGGAGTATGGGTGGGAAGAAGATGAAAGGTTAAGTTCCTGGGTGGGCAGACACTCTCTTTAAGGATGTGAAAAGAGAATGCTGAAAGGAGCAGGTGAGAGATGCTGAGAAGCTTCATTATTCCCACTTTTTGTCTTAAATCTACACGTAACTATCTAGCTATGGGGCAGCCTAAATCAAAACTAGTCTTTGTTAAATATACTTCCTTTAAAAACTATAAGACATGCAGTTGAACATTACATTTTGCTTGATTATTTTTTGATTATAAAAGATATTTAGTTTTATGATTAATAACATGTTTTCTCCTACTGTTTAGTGTCCATCTTTTAACATTAATTTGTACTGCATTATAAAATATAGATGTTACTGCGTCCATGGAGTCTACCAGTTCTTTGCATAAATCAACTTTCAGAATTTGTGTCATTTTAATTTAAAAATATAGTCATTGTGATGATTATTCCAAAATGTGATTCATTACTATCAGCTGTTTAGTATTTAAAGATATTCCACTTTGGCTTGTGATAAGTTGTCATTCTGAAAGAAATACATTTAGCAAAAACACAGTGCTCTGACACTCTTGATCTTAGCCTCCAGGCAAAATTTGATCAAAGCATCAGCAAAAACCTCTCTCATCAAATTTGTCAAGAGTTTCTTCCATATCTGTGTGTAAGTTTCAGTTCTCATATTTTGGTGATTTATGTATGTGTGTATGTATATATGTACATACATGCATATGTATGTATGCATGTATACCCATATGTGTGTATGAGACAGGTTCTCACCATGTTTCTTGGGCTGGTCTTAAACACTTGGATTTAAACAGTCCTCCAGCCCCAGCCTTCCTGATAACTCACTGTGCCCAGCCTCATCTTTATGTTCTTCTCAACCGCAGCTGTCTCCACAGAACATGATGAATTTCTTCTCTTGGCTTCTGAACTTGCATTGTTTTCCCCTTAGTTTGATCAGACCTTCCTTTCTTGAGGGCACTACTGGGATCAGCTCTCACAAACCTTCTTTCTCAGTATTCAGTAATCTCAGCCACTATATGCACTATTTTTTCTTTTTCTTTTTTTTTTTTGGTTTTTCTCCGGTACCGGGAACTGAACTCACAACCTTGCGCTTGCCCGGCAGGCGCTTTTGCCGCTGAGCTAAATCCCCAGCCCCTTATGCACTATTTACATACTGGTGATTCCTTGGAGTTGTTTAATCTTCAGTATTTGTTTTCCTGTAAAACTACTTTGACAATTTCTTATAGAAATAAAAATGGTTTTGGCTGGGAACATAGCTTGGCGGTAGTGCACTTGCCTACCATGCTTGGGGTCAGGGTTTGATAGCTAGTGTCACACAATACCAAACCAAACCAAACCACACCAAACCAAAATAAAGCTTTCTAAAACTTAACTCATTCAAAATGATACTTGATTTTTCAGTCCAAATCTGCTTCTTTCTGAGTTCCACATTTCTGTGAATGACAATGCCGGTTTGAACATATTCTTGGAACAGAAAATCTACAATTTTGTCCACTCTTTTTCATAGCCCAGGTCAACTTCATTATCAAATATTTTCACATCTTCATCCAAAGTTTAGTATCCTACAAGGAACACTTCTCATCAAATCCACGGCTACTGCCTCTCTGTCTCCCCTGCCTTTCCAACTCTCCTTCTGAGGTCTCCCCTAGAGATTTTCTGCCTGCTAGACAGAAGGGATTTTAAGAATATGGCACATTTGACATGCTGTCCATATTAAACATGCTCAAGTGGCTTCTCTTATTTAGCATAGAGTCCAAGGTTTTGCCCTGGTTCCCAAGCCCACAGATCATTTGCTCTTTGTTCTGCTGATCTGTTCACTGTCTTGCTCCGTCTTCCTGTGCTCATCACTGTCCCATCTCTGACTCTATGCAAACATCCTCATCTCAGGAAAGGGGTCTTTTCAAACCTCTAAAAATCCTCTCCTAACTCTTCACCTTCTTGCCCTCTTTTATTTTTCTGCAGAGGGTTCATGATCACCTGAAATTATATCACACACGTTTTAGGAAGTTGTTTGTGTTACTGTTTTCCCTACTACAATATACATTTCAAAAAGGTGCCACCTTTATTTTGCTCATTATTTTATTCCTACCATTTACATCGAAATATATTTTAGCAGGCCTTCATGAATATTTATTGACTTAGTGAATGAATGGTGTTCATTTAGGAAAAGAAAAATTGTCCATATATTTAAATCTGACATGCTCCCTGTAGGGTGCCATAGAGACATGTCAATATGGTAAGCCATGGCGGTCACATCAATGGTAAGCTCTAAGGGTAGGTAAAGCAATGAGGGTACCTGGTTGTGTTGCCTGGATCACCCCTGAGAGGTGCAGGACATTGGATGCTCACTGCCCTGTGCCTCAGAGCACACCTGTGACTTGCTACGTGCATGCCAGACACCCGCCCCCAAGGCCTGACTTAGAGATCTAGGGTAGAAATGCACTTGGGTAGTTATTTTTAAGAGGCTGGTCCACTTAGAGACAGAGCTTGAAATAGGGATTTGAGTATATGTGCTTTGATGTGCAAGTGCTTGCAGAGAAAACCTGTAAGGCAGGGAAAGTTGCTACCATGGGGAAGTCGAGCAAACGTGTGGCTCCAGGTAACCCAGTCTTGGGCTGATGCACACAGCAAGGGCCCTGCATTGCAGACCGTACTATACAGTTGTTTCTCCGTGAGGCAAGAGAGGTTAAACTCGGCATTGGGCTTTGGCTGCTTTACTGAGGGAGAGGTAACTTTGCAGGCAAGGCAGGTCTCCTCAGAGGAGGTCAGTTCTCCACAAAGGAAGCTCTAAACCATTATGAGCCAACACTCACAGCAGCAGGGGGACACTGCACTGGCCCACAAAGGGGCTGTGGGCCGCTGCCACAGTTAGTCATATAAAAGTGGGCTGAGTGTTTCTGATTTTTTAAATTACTTTTTATTCTCTTGAATTGTTTGATCAATCTTGCACTCTTATATCTTACAATCTGACCAGCTTCGTTGGAGAGAACAATATGTAAAGTAACAACCGTTGTTAATTCCTATCATCTTCTTTTGAAATCCTGTATCATTTTTATTGTTTTCGTGTTGTTGTTTTTGTCTTTGTGGCTGTTGTTTTGTTATTGTTATTTTTTTCTCTTTAAAGTAAAAAAAATATGGGCTGCTTGTGAAGCTCAGATGTTCATTCTTTCAACAAATATTTTCAGTGGCTTATCCCAGGCAGAGTGCTTGCAGTTGCTGGGATTCAGGGGTGAACAGACATGGCTGCCGCAGCACACACAGGGATATTAAACAGATATTAATCAAATATCTTTGCAGTCATAACCAGATATGGCTGGATTGTCATGCCAAATAATGAACTGAAGCAAGATTATAAAAGTAAGCCCACAATATTATGCAGTCAAGTAATTTTTTTAAATAAATAGTTCTTGCAGTAACTTTGAGATTATGTAAATTCTTATCACAGTCATCATTATCTAATGCTAGCTGTATGTTACTCAAATACTTGCCAGGCATTATTTGAAAACTCAAATAGAGTTTTAAAACTTGTTTCAGCATTGGAACTGTGTTTGTGTGCAAGAACTCTACATACCATTGTTTAAGAAAGCCGGACAATTTTGTTTTAGTAGATATTGAAGCACAGGAAGAATTAAAATTTCTAAGTACAACTTGTCAGATGCCAATTCCCTTTTGTCCTTTCAAATTACTCTCTTCATTCCTACCCCAGTCTGACAAGCAAGGCAAAAGTGAAACTTGTATGAGAAGCTGTAATCTTGCTACTGTGGAACATTCAAGTTTGTAGACTTGCATAATTTTCTAGTCCTGTACAGGCTACAACTTACTGGATGTCATTAAATTGATATGCAGTGTTCACCAGTATAAGTCTGGTATTGTTCTGTTTGAAATAGCAATATTTAATGAATAAAATGCAATTTGAACAAGTAGATACAGATCCCTGGGTTCCAAGCAAAGTTTGAAAATTCAATATTAATATAGAACATCTGAGATAAGGCCAAAGAAAGTGAGAAAAAATTTTGCTTTACATTTCATTATTAGAAAGACACAAGAGTACTTAAATCACTAATCAGTTAGTAGGTACCCGTAAATATCTGAAATTCCTGATTTTATCTAAGGCTCTATTTTCATCTCTTTTTTGTATCTTTGCATAGTGCTATGGAAACCACTACACTGAAAAACAAGTCCGCTAATGAGGGACGTAGTACTTGTCAGTAAAGTCGTGTTTCTTACTTTAGCACAGAGAAGAATGGTGAAGGACTACAATGCTGTCGACGAGTCACCAAACCATCTCCTTAGGCGGATGTCGCGCAGCGAAAATAACAAAGCTTATTTTCATTACTTCTGCTCATACCTCAAATCCCTGCGGTCTTCCTAGACTCTCCGTGATATGCTTCCATGCAACGAGAATCTCTGACACAGACATGCTTGTAGCCTTGACATCAGTGGGAGCAGCAGTGGGTTCTGTATGAAAGAAAGTGGAAACAATAAGCTAGGAATATCACAAGTACACCTATCAAGGTAAGGCACCTACACCTACCAGGTGTCCGCGGCCTTCTCCCTTACTTTTGCAGTGAAGTGCTCTGCTAGTTATGAAGAACAAAAGATAAAATGATGATCTTGTTGTGTTTCTATACCTAAGTCATTTCATCAATACCTTACCAATGACCATTCCCAAATCTGGAAGGATAAGCAGAGGAGGCCTTTATCCTTGGACTGGCTATGACAGTTCTAGAGAAGTTAAATAGTCTGATTACAGTTGTCTGTCAATCTATTATATTGATGAAGAGAACTGACTATGGAGTCAGGGTTGGCTTTTTGTTGTGATTGTTGCTGCTGTTATTTTTACCTTTAAAATTATTTATGATGGTAAAACACACACGTCTGGAAACATTGCGTCCCATTAATATACAATGTCTGTGTTTTTATATCTCAGTTACATTACAAATCTAATAAATAAAATAATACTTTTTTATTTACCTTCAGGTAATTTTTTACCTCCTTCTATTACCTAGTTCCATCTTCTGTAACATGGGCGTAATAAGAATATTATCTCGTAGAGTTTAAGACTAGTTTTAATTATTATAAGACATATAAATTGTATAGTGCTGTCATTGGCACTGAAAATGGTCATTCACAAGTACTTGTTAACTGTGCAGGAACAAACAGAATCTGAATTACATTAGATATTTTTTGGTGCTCTAACTGCAGAACTATGTTTCTATGGTCATATAAGACATGTGTTATGAATCATGATATTCACAAGGCACGCACTGACTTTTAAGGCAGGTGTAAGCTGAACAGAAAAGTCCCTAAAGGTCTTGATGCTATTGCTCAGAACCACCTCTTTGTTTGTTTCTATGCTTAGTGCCCTTTCACACCAGTTTTTTTCAGTACACAACGTCTGACTGGCATCCATCAAGAGGTGCTTTTTATTTTAGGTTGCATGGTCTGTGAGCAACAAAATATTTCTCCTTTTGACATGGGTGAGTCACAAATATTGTCACAAACACATGTTAAATGAAATGGCAGAATAAAGGCTATATATTAAGTCAAGCAGTTCTGTATAAAGTCCATTTTTTAAAAAATCACACTCCTTAAGAATTGTAGAGATTTTGATATTAACCCCATATCACTAGTAAGAATTCAGATTAATGCTAAAATTATTTTTTTTTCGATTCATGACACCAAAGATAGCAAAGATAGCAAGGATAGAGTTCTACATAAGAGGTTTGAAAGTCATTACAACAGACATTGAAAGAATTATAACCTTCTCTGAGATCTTTTCTTTTATAATAGAAGGCAGTCATACATCTACCTAAGTCTTTTTAAAATTATTAATTGAAAAATATCAGTCAAAACATCTATTCAGAAGCCTACAGAAGAAGATATTTTTCACAAGCAGTGTTTTTCTTTTGGTAAAACTTTAATTAAAATCATGTGACATAATTGTGTCAGCAAAAGGTGATTTGGTAAATTCACATTAATCTTTGCACAGAAGTTGGCACTAACTCTTGTCCCAGTATAAGCTGTAGATTCTCGTTCTGTTGCCCTTTGAATGTTTATTTTTTAAATTTTCTTTTCTGTGGTTTCATTCATATCACTTTCCAACTCCCCAGTACTTATTTATCACTCAATGTTTTTAAAAATGCACTCTGGGATTATGGGTGTAGCACTTGGGAGGCTGAGGCAGGAGGATCGTTGTGAGTTCAAGGCCAGCCTGGGCTACAAAGTGAGCTTAAGGCCAGCCTGAACTACAGAGTGAGACTCTGTCTCAAAAAGACAAAAAAAAAAAAAAATGTCTTGGCTATAATAATGGTACTCTAGCTGTGTAGGAGAACATTTTTGTTTTTAGAAGATACATGATAATGTTTTTAGAGGTAAAATGTCACAACATCTATAACTTATTTCTCAATTTGTCCAGTAAAAGAAAAAAAACCATATACATGTACCAATCAAGACTAAGCAAGTTAGCAAAATGTTTATAATTAATAAATCTAAGCGAAGGCTAAAAAAATGCATTTTTGGAAAACTTCTAGTTAATAGTAGTTAAAGTTTTTGGTTTTATAATTAAATAAAAGGAAATGCTGATGCTTTGAGGCATGTACAATTTGATCTCGAGGATTTAGGATATGATTTATTTCTAAAGGAACCATGCATTGCGTATCATTTGCTATTCAGTTGCAGTTTCACTTCTCTATTTAGAATGGACGTGTTGCAGAGATTTGCGTGCCAAATGCCTTCTTTCAGCTTTTATATTACCGAAGCAATTACATCTTTGTCAAAGAAGATTGCAGGGGGACAAATAATTTCAGAAGCACAAAACATGTGGTTGGGTGGCAGCTTTCTATCCCTCTTTATCTTTAGAGAAAGAAATTACCTCTCTATCAGCTTTCAGGGGCACTACACAAGTTTAAATACCTCTCAGAAAGAAAGTTAAAAAAAAAAATAAAAACAGAAAACAAAGTAAAAGAAAAAGAAAAATGTTCAGAAACCTACTTCCTAGCCAGGCATCTTAATTTCTATTTAAAAGCTCTGAGGATTTTAAATCAGGTCACCTGACATTTCATAGTCCCATGCTTGGTCTCTGCACGTTAGAGATGCATCTAATTGAATGAGGGTGAAAGACTCACGCAAGAATTATGATCTAAGCAGTATCAGAAGTAGACCCATGCTGTCCTGAATTGGAAATTTCAGCACGGAAAAAGAAATGATCTCAATCAGTTTCTTGCAGACGTTTTCTTATGTACTGCTTGTTAGTGGAGTGCTTGGGACAACTGGCTGGGCCACAGAATCCTGGACTGGAACTCACTGTTCCGTCTTGAAACCAAGTGTAGGTGAATGATGGACACTGCCCACTAAAAAGAGTTTTAAAAAATCACTTGGAGCTGGGCGTGGTGGTTCACGCCTGTAATCTCAGCACTCGGAAGGCTGAGGCAGGAGGATCACCGCAAGTTTGAGGCCAGCCTAGGCTACAAAGTGAGCTCAAGGCCAGCCTGAACTGCATAGCGAGACGCTGCCTCAAAAAGACCAAAAAAAAAAAAAAAAAATCACTTGGATCAAAAGTCACAAATGTATGGCCAGTGCATCTCCAGTCATTTTGTTTGTCTATTTAATGTGTATAAGTAATTGAAGTCAACATTTAAGTTGTAATCTATCATGTAAATATGAGAACTTATAGCTTTGAAACAAGCAGAAGAACCGAGCCTGAGTTCTTGAGTGTTGGAGTGTGAGAATTAGCGGTTCACTCCCTCAGGGCCTGTGCAGCTCAATTTGCTGGAGTCCCCGCAGCTCCCCATTGTCCTACGGGGAGCACCTGGTGTTTCCTTTCTTAACTGATACCGGAGGCCTTTGAATTATAACGCTGTGATTTAAATTTATGCTCCCATTCTGCAAATATGAAAAATTGTATGTACCAAGGTCGATGTATTCAAATTCTACTTCCTGCTCTGAAACACTCAAGTGAAAACTTAGTTCTGAAGAAGTCTTTCCTCTCTTCTTAAATTCTGTGCCAAGTAAGCAGCTGACTTGTTCTCAGTTTCTTAGGAACAATTTTGCAGTGCAGAGGAGCTGTATTACTAGCAATATATACTGTTCATTCTTTTGTTTTCTAGTTTGGTTTAGTGTTTGCTTGTTTTTGAGATAGAGTCTCGCCGTGTAGTCCAGGCTGTCCTCGAACTTGTGGCAATCTTTGTGCCTGAGCCACCTGAGTGACTATACTTCATTCTTTTGCTACCCAAATGCCTCCTAATAACTGACAAAGCAACAGGCCGAATGTGATTCGGAGCAAACAGGTGAGGGAAAGAACTGAAAGAGATAATAAGGAGTAGTTTTTGAGGATCTGAAGAAAGGAAGGAAGGAAGGAAGGAAGGAAGGAAGGAAGGAAGGAAGGAAGGAAGGAAGGAAAGAAAGAAAGAAAGAAAGGAAAGAAATGCTCCAAGCCCACTTAGTTCTTCACATGTACCAACACTCCCAGCAGCCCTATTATTACTTTCACATGAGGAAACTCAGGCGCAGAGAAGTTAAGCAGCCCAAGAGCACACAGCTGCCAAGGTGGAGGGGTTGATCCGCACACGGGGAGCGGGCTCCACCCACCGCTGCGTGCTTCTGGGCGTGCGTCGTGCTGTGCACGCCTCACGCATCTTCGTCGCTGTTGCTCTTTTCTCCTCCCTCTCCACTTCTAAATCCTCGGGAGAAATTTCATGTTGAACTGCCCCGCTCGGGCTTCCTACTTCTAGATCTTTCTAGGAATTACTTAGTCCCGTTTCATCTCCCTGTTATCCTTGCCTCAGGTTTACTATCAACTCCCTTTATCCTTAGTTCATGGACTTTGTAATAATTTTGAACCACAGCGTGCTGTTCTTCATAGCGAAGAAGACTGGGAGTTTCTAAAACTGTTTGGGAGTTTCTAAGACTCTCCTGAACCGGGAATCACACGATGTTTTCTGTCACTCTTATCCTTTACACTCAGGTAATTTGATGAAAATTCAAGAACTTCTGTCTGAGATTAAACTAGTGTTATGTCTAGTAGACTCAAAGACTTAAAAGGATCTATTTCTCTCGCTTAGGAGGGTATTAAGGAGGCTATAAATAACTCCTTTACTCCACTCTCGGGATATGAAGCGGACATGCTCATTGATAGGGTTCAGTGTCTGTTACATTAAAAAATTTGAACAGTATTATCATGTTCATGAATGTAGACGATACATTTGTTTTAAGTGACCTAGCAGTAAGAGTCCTCCAAGTAATATGGGGGGATGTGCTTGTAATATTGATTATATATCTGACTCCCAGGAGTGGTGAGCAATAGCATTAATCAAAAGAGAATTTAATAAACTCCTTGGGAGAAAGGTTATGATTTCATTATTTAAAAATTCAGTGAAGACAGCTGCAGTTGAACTTTCACAGGCACTAATCCAAATAGATCATCTGGCAAACACAGGAAATTATTTCTTGTATTTTATAACTAATATGCCAATTTATTAATTTCCAAGTTCACATAAATTCCACTGAGGTCACTTTTAGCTAAGAACTCACCTGAAGAATACTGCCTCATGAATGCTGGATTTTAATTTGGACTGTAGTAGCTCTGTTTGCAAGCAGATAATTGTACATCATTTTCTTTAAATGAAAAGAGCCTTTTAGGCTTCAATAAAAATAAAAGCAGCATACTTTTAAAATATAAGGCCAAATCCCCCCCGCGGAAAAAAACCACAACCCCTCACCCCAAAATACCTACTCTGAAAAGGCTAAAGTATATCACAAATAAGAATTCTTTCAACCTCTAATTAATGTATATTGAATTTCTATCTGTTTTTCTCTGAGGTATCATTGAATTCTCTGGTTCTTCTGGTCCAAAGTTTTAGTAACAAGAACCATGGGAAAATGGATATAAATTTATCTATTAAATATTTCTAGAACTGTGAAGGAGGCTGGGCGTGGTGATGCACACCTGCATCCCAGCACTCGGGAGGCTGTGGCAGGAGGATCACCATGACTTTGAGGCCAGCCTGGGCTACACAGTGTGTTCAAAGGCAAGCTCAATCGTAGAGTGAAACCCTGTCTCAAAACAAATACATAAAAACAAATAAATGGATAAATAAGTAAATAAAATAAAATAATAGAAATGTGAAAGTGAACCACTGATTTGACTTTTCATCATGGAAATTTTTTAAAACAATTTGACCATGCCTTTTAAAATAATTTATTTTGAAGATGTAATTGCTTTCAAAATGAGGATATTGTTCAGGACTTTACCATACCCTAAAAATCTGTAGTTCAGTCAGGGTTAGGAAAGTACATCTTTCTTTCTTTCTTTCTTTCTTTCTTTCTTTCTTTCTTTCTTTCTTTCTTTCTTTCTTTCTTTCTTCCTTTCTTTCTTTCTTTCTTTCTTCCTTTCTCTCTCTTTCTCTCTTTCTTTCTTTCTTTCTTTCTTTCTTTCTTTCTTTCTTTCTTTCTTTCTTTCTTTCTCTCTGTCTCTCTTTCTCTCTCTCTCTCTCTTTCTTTCTTTCTTTCTTTCTTTCTTTCTTTCTTTCTTTCTTTCTCTCTCTCTCTTTCTCTCTTTCTCTCTTTCTGTCTTTCTTTCTTTCTGTCTTTCTTTCTTCCTTTCTTCCTTTCTTTCTTTCTTCCTTCCTTGGCTTAGCATGCACGATACGTGATGGATGTACAGGGTACGTGGAAATGCTGGATGGCAAATCTCTCTCCTCCCAGACTTATGTCAGGTCTTACTAGGCACCAACAGTTTTGAAGGCTTACTTCTGTAGTGGAACTACTAAAAGGTATCAAAAGTTCAAGGATGTTAGCAAAAGCATAACTTGCAGCAATTTCTTATCACACTCTAGGGCGATAGTCAGCCTCTGAAATGTTGAAGTCAAGGTCGTATGTGGAGTGACTTGCCAAATGCCAGTATTTGTCTGCGATCATTCCTTTGCTAACAGGCTGACTCATGGTCTTCCTTGTGTAACGTAATTCTTACTTGCATTCTAGCAGGCATGTTTGACAGCAGAAGAGGAAGAATACGGATGAACGGTCACAGCACTGATGGAAGGGTATTCTGGAGGGGGACGCCATCCACCCCTGATGCCCCAGGGGTAGAGCTTCACAGTAGTCCTGTAAGGCGTGTTCATATGTCTTCCTGCTTTGTACCTCCAGTACAGCGCAGTACAAATGCTGGTGGCTGCACGTTAGCACCTTTTTGCCTCCCACTGTGCCAGCTGTGAAAAGGCGGCTTTCTCGTGGTGCTCCAGGTACAGCATTAGTGCTCTCGGCGTGGAGAAAAACTAAGCCTCTACATACAAGTGCAGGCAGGTGGGTTTGTTTTTTACTGTATCTAAGAATGTGGAGGGATTCGGAAGTATAAAAAAGTGGGTGGGGTTCAGAGAAGAATAAGAAAGCAAAATTTGTCTTAAGGAGAAGTGCAATCTAAGTAAGATATGTAGGGCTTGAGCCAAAAATATGGTGATAAAAACACAGAGAATTTGTGTGAATACCCCTGGAATAGAAGAAAGGAACCTGCACCAGCGGAAGTACAACTAAAACCTGTGGTGTACGAATTTGTTACAGGTCTTGAAAAATGGTTCAGGCTTTGAAATGGTCACTCGTTCTGAATTAACGCAACATTCCAAGTGAATATACATGTTTAGTTGTCTGCTTTTATTGTACAGCAAAAGCTAATTTATTATCTCTACTTATTTGGGACAATTGTTTTAGAACATAGAAATTAACAGAAATTTACTTTGCGATTTGTGAAGCCTTCCAGTGATGTTCTACCCAGAAACTTTACTATTAAAGTGTAGCAACATGGTGTTCCAAGAGGCAAATCTACTGCCGCAAATCATATGTGATCGTGTTTAAATTCAGGCTGTGCTGACTCCAGGCAAGAGCACTTCTTTCCTTTTGTCCTGCCTTTTTTTTTTCTTTTGGTTGCTACAAAATTATGTCAATATTCTGTTCATATTTACGTGAGAAGTTCTAATTTTATAAATTTAATTAGTGAAAAATGCCAAGTGTGTGTTTGAATTCTATTGTCTGAACAAAAGCAGGCTTTATAAGGTCTTAATTGATGTGGTATCTTTCATATTTTTAGTCTACAAATAAATGAAGTATTACCATGAAATATGTTGCAGCAGCAACCTTAGTTGAAAAGAAACTAAAATATGCAGATTTTCTTTCTAGCTTAAAAGAGAAATCTCCAAAGGCAATGCATGTCAAGTTTAAGGGAACATAGTATTTAAACAAAGGTAGCTGCAATAATTTAATTTCAAAGCAAAGGTTGACAAGAAACTTACAAAGCTGGATTTCTCAAAGTCTGCACTAGAGTTGCCATATAAACCATGTGCATAAACTTCTGCTGCTCACCTCATGTGAACTCTGGGGCTATGCGCTTCATAATTAGGTTGCAGCAATTTTAAAGCAACAAGAGTCTGCACTTCCTGAATAAAACATGTACTTCAAAGTAGATCTTTGGAATAATAAATAATAGAAAATATCATTATTATGGACATCCCTGGTGAGATTGTATAAGGGTTAGTGCATGTGCTTCAGAATCATATAGACTCGGTGAAAATCCCAGCTGTGCCGTTTGCTGCTGTTATTTTACAGTTCTGTCACTTACTGGTGTGAACTGGTCTATGTTCACACTGAGGCTCGGTTGTCTGAAAAGAAGATTTCAGCTTGATATTCAGACCTTACATGTACTTAGTTTTAAGTGTTAAATTTTAAAATCAGTAGGTGCACACAGTCTATCTCTGAAAACACATTAGGACCTGAGATGCTACATGCACGGGTGTCTCATTGAAATATCCATGATTCCTTGTTGCTACTTGGTTCTTCATTTTTTTGGACCATTCTTCAATAAGGGCATATTTTTTGCTTTTGCTTCAAAATTTGGTTCTATGTTTTAAAATACAAGGCAGCTTGCACTGAAAAACCACATCTTCACATAAATGACACGCTATATTTGTTCTATATTCAAATGACCTTATATATTACTTTCCACAAGGCTCAGATCCCCCCAAATATTAATAATTCCATTGAGTTATTCAGCATAAACATGTGGGCATGAAAGAAGTCCAAGAGTCGGTTTATGATCGTGATGCTAATCTGACGGATCACATGAGTGCTGCCTTTGTTGTGGCATTTTCTTATTCATTTGCATATTTAGGTGGTATGAAGCACACAATAAATAATTTCTAATTGGCAGGGACAATTGAAATTGGATGTGAGCAAAAGAAGAATTCTGAGTAAAAGGTAACTTATGGGGCTTAGATTAATCATGTTTTCTTTACTTAGAAAACTAGAGAGAAAGCAGGATTTATTGGAAGGTGGCTTTATGGCTAGCTCCATGACCTACTGATTCTAAGTATGTGTGGTCAGTTTGACAGTTTCCTCATCAGCAAAATGATTATATTTGCAGCTAGGTACTGCCATTTCGTAGTTTTAACAGTTAAATGGATCCACGTATACAATGGCAGCATGCTATAAAAAAATCAACATTTATTTATGTATTTATTTTTTTTGGTTTTGGGAATCAAACTCAGGACCTTGTGCTTGCCAGGCAGGCGCTGTGCCACTGAGCTATATCCCTGGCCCCAAATCAGTGATTTAATAGGAAGGTATAGATTTAATTCTCAGTTAAAAGCTGTATAATCCTTAGCAAGTTCTAAGCATTTCTGAGCTGCAATTTCTCTTTCTACACAGTGGCTATTACATAAGATTATCATGAGGATTTAATGACCTGAAAAACATCTATCAGAAAGCCCTGCCTGATACTTCTTTATTAATATAATGGTTTGTGAATTAGAGTTAGAAATAAATATTTGTTGTCATATTGAAAGTCCTTAGATTCATTTTATGTGTATATTTAAATTTCTAACCAAAGAAGTTTGGTTAAGTTCCTCCTAGAGAACGGAAGCATCCTCTAGAAGATTACTAGCCTTGTTATTATGGAAAAATGTTTGTCATATATTGTCAGGGAGTAAAGAACACACTACAACGTATATAGACTGATTTGTCTCTGTTAACATATTAAAAAGCATATGAACTGGGCTGTTATAAATTTTATTTTATCTTGGCTTACTGATTTTCTAATATAAGAACAAAGGTTCTCATTATTCCGATAACAAAATAAGATATTATGGTGTTGAAGCAAGTAACAGGGAGGAACAGACTGACCTCCTTCGGCTGAACAGATGACCACAATCTGGCTGAAAGGTCCGTCCCCTTTGTTGTTGTAGACGCCAACTTTCACTTCGAAGGGGGTCAGCGGAGGCACACTTTCATCTCGGTAGATGAACTGGGAAGCGTCAGAGGATGTCACCATCTTCTCTTTCCAACCCCGTGTTCCATTGGGTCTGAAAGCCACGATGTAGCCAAATCCTTCCCCATTCTGGAACTCTTCAGATACTGGCTAAAGGAGGACGGCACAATGAATTACCAGCAGTATGTCCGATGAAGCAACAACGCGCTGCTTCCAAATCTTATTTTTTTAACAATGGCGGTCGAGAAATAAACAAGCTCAAACCTTTTGCTCTGGTGAAAATTAAAATAGGAAAGTACTTTGGCAGTTCGGGGGAACTTAAAAGCCTTAAAAGGTTAAAAATGAAAAATTACATCAGTTGGTATGTAAGAAAATTCTCAAGAGTATTGAAAACTCTTGAAGTGAAACAAATTTGCTCCAATTATACGTGTACGAAATGAAGGCCTTAGATTCCACGATAGAATTTAACACGCGGAGGAAAGCTGTGATGCGGTCTGGCGGCTGGGAATGTCTTGTCGGTGGGAATGCTCTGCAGGCACGCCGCACGACACATCTAAAATAGACTAGTGTGAGACCCTCCTTCCAGCTGCATCTGTGCACTAAGAACATGAAAAACAGCCGGACTATGGCACGGTTCCGGGGAATTTTTTGTGCTATATGTATAAGGTTTATACTTAAATTTATCAAATGGGTTTCAACTGCCTATCACAGCAAGGAATAGCTGTAATGACTAGTAGGTGGAACAAAGGTATGAGACACCAACTAGCCCAATACTTGACACATAGTAGATACAAAGAAATATTTATTAGTATTTTTCTTTTGAATTTTTTTTGGTACCAGGAATCAAACTGAGGACCTTGGGCTTGCCAAGCAGGTGCTTGTGCTACTGAGCTATACCCACCGGCCCTCTTTTGAATTTTGACTGAACAACTATGCATTGATTGGAAGAAGGAGCACAAAGGCTATCAAAGCTCATTGGAAAAGTCAGGTGTCTCCAGGGGAAATAAATATACTCTGTAACCCTCTTCTACTCCCACTGCTTTCCTTTGACAAAAGATATTTTCTAGGCTACAAGACATGGTAGATGAATGAATCTAAATTTTGTGATCAAATTTTGCAATTCAAATTTTGCAATTCTGTTCACTAGGGAAGAATTTAAACTCCTCCTTAGTTTCAAAATTTGTAAAATGATGAAGATCTTCCCTACTGGAAGGACTGTTGCATGGGTTAGATAAAACCTAGACCCTATGCTACATATCCGTGGTGGTTAATTCCTTCCTCCCTAGTGGTTTCCAAGTAAGTCAAGGTAACTACTTAATTGTAAAGGAATTAAATATCAGACTGAGCCAGACACCTGAAGCAATTTGCAAGAGGACATGCTTTAGTTATTCAAGCTTTGGTCTGAGATAGCTGATATGACAGGAAAGAATACTTTCTACTTGGCCAAAATATCACCTGGGACCTCATATGAAGATGAGAAAGACTCATGTTAGCAAGAAATACGAGCTCAAAGTGTTTACTTCAGTTAAACAGGAGCTTCCTAAGGCTGTCTGTACCAGGCAGATATTCTTAACTGTAGCCGTACTTTAAGGAAGTCAACAGGTTTGATAACTGCAAAGGCTTTCATACCTCCCAGGCAATGACCAACTCATGTCTTCTTCCACTTCTTCCACTTACATTGGTGGGTGCTGTTTTTGGAACTGAGGATAAAAATGGATAGAGAGTGAGGACAGAGAACACATGAGCAATTTCCTTACGATATGGACAAACCATGACCCTGCATACGTTGGGCAAAATCCTGCAATAAATAAGTCAAACATTAGTTTTGAAGTTAGAATGGTTAAATTAAATACTGAGGTAAAATATTTGTGATGGAATGCTTCTACATCTTTGTGGGATAATTTTAAATATATCTCATGGCCACATACTTCTCCCCAAATTCGTTCTCAGTTAAATCCTGTTAGTGATGTCTACATCATAGTACCAATAAAGCTAAGGATATCTACTAGTGCTTAGGCAAATTTCATCCTTTACATGCTTTCCTCCACTTTACCAGTGGTGTGACTATTTTTGTCACCCCAGGGCTTACAAAACCCTTGGAAAAGTTGACTCCACCATCTCTGTTACCAGATCCCCCAGGAAGCTCCAGGTTAAGGAAACTTGAACAATGCCATGGAGTGAGAATCTACTTAAGTGAATAAAGAGTTTAAGTAATCTGTCATGAGTCAGTCTCCCTGCACACTGCAAAATATATAGGTGCTCAGAGTAACTTTTCAAATGAATAACTATTAAAAGAATAAATATGTCAAAGGAATAAATTTCCCCTTCAGTGCACCACACCAAAGAATCTGCAGTTGAATGGGAACATTTTCAAATGAAGAACCGTCAAATGCAGAAAGCTATTAAAAGAAATCATTTTCCAGGCTGTGAGCCTGCATTAGCAATTTTATACTTTTGTATTGCCTTTCTAACTAGCATATAGTTCTTAAATGATATTGATATACTATAAACAATAAATTCACTCCTGTATATTTTATAGTTGGATGAAAATCTATTAATTACTGGTAGATAGTCACGCAGAATTTTATACACCAGAAAAAATTGAAGTGGAATTTATATAGTCCTAGAAAGGAAATAAAAAGAGAAGTTTTTCTTGGGTCCAGGAGGTGCAGGAGAAAAGCCTGTGAATATATAATTCATTCTACAAAAATAAATAAGCTGTATCCTCCAGGATCCAAATTGCAGTGTCTGGGGTATTTTTCTCTATGAACAAAATTCTTCTCTTGCTCAACTATGTGTAGCAGCTACCAATATCAGACTATATAGCAGCAAAACACATACAAACGTAGTTATATACCATATTTTTTTCCATAGTTGTAAATATACTGAAGATTATTTATCTGTGGATTTCAGTCTCATGAATTCTCTAAGAATTACATGGAATTGGGTTACTTTTACTGTCATACAAGAAATCAGGTAGAATTCAGCTGAAAACATGATGGTATTACAGCAACGACCAGGAATATGTCTCAGTTTAGTTGAATAGTAAGCAAATAACTCATTTACATAAATATCTAAATAATTTAGTCATTGATACATGTAACAATCTGTTACAGATCAGTATGTCTTGATGCCAAAACTGTAAACTATGTACTAATTCTAAATGTATTTTCTACTCTATAGTATGTGTGAGGTTCAAAAGAATGGAATAGAATTAAATGTATTTGTAAAAGGACAGGGGTATAAGCTTCAAAATATTCCCTTTGTGGCTAATCTCAGAATTGTGAATATTATGGTCATCAACACATAGTCAGATGAATAGTGGAAGCAATGTCATATGTCAATATCAAGCCACTCTGGCTTGTGTCAGTGCCATTTAAGAAAAAAGTGCACACACACATATACACAGCGCTTCACTCTGATCTCTGACAACTCATATTTGAAAAACTTACTCGACTGTCACTTTGAATTAGCTTTATGTCCTAAAGTTAGGGCTTAAAATTCTCTTCTTGGAGCATATCATTCTCATGGTCATGAGTTTTTGTGGAGAGACTAGACACAGGAGTTTATTTTCCTATTTTAGTCCTCAAACATCACCTCCAAAGAAGATGTCTAGAGATTCTGGATTGGAGGCAGAGTGAGCTGTGGACTCCAGTAGACATCTCCTGACTTTGCTGAAAAGACACTAGTAGAACAAGATGCGAAAAACTACGGTATTTAAAATCCAAGCCTTTAAAACCCGGGTAGTTTTTTTACACAGTCCATTAATATTTTCACCTTTTAGAAAATATATTGAAACATTTTAGGCTTTTGAGTAAAAAGTTAAAAAGCAACTGTTGAGGGGCTGGGGATATAGCTCACAAGCACCTGCTTGGCCCGCACAATGTCGTACGTTTGGTTCCCAGTAAGAAAAAAAGGAAAAAAGCAAAAAGTAATTGTTGAACATTTAGTGACTAGTGCTACACTGAGGAGATCTGAAAGCAAACTGTTCTCTGATTTGATTAATTTCTACACGAATAACTTCCAGTTTGAATTATCCATAGAGGACTTAAGTTCTACAAAATTTCTTTTATTATTTAAAATAAAAATTAAGATGCCAATTTCTCTTAAAGACAAGATAGCCTATAATCAAAGTAAAGAAGGAAGATCCTCTTTTTCCCGTTTGGGGAAATTAAGAAAAAAATTAGCCAGTTCCTAGAATCAATAATTCTAGTACATCACACTCGAACCTAGGGGAAATGTTGAAAGCAGTCCTAAGACAGAGCTTTATATTCATAAATGTTCACATCAGAAAAAGAGTGAGTCCAAAAAAAATCTAATAATATACTTCAAGGTCCTAGAAAAACAAGAACGATGCAAATCCAAATCTAGTACAAAGAAGGAAATGATAAAGATCTGAACAGAAATTAGTGAAATTGAGACTAAGAAAATAATATGAAGAATGAAAAAAATCAAAACTGGTTCTCCAAAAGAATAAATAAATTAGACAAACCTTTAGTCATTTTTACCAAAAAAGGAAAAAACAATCCAAATCAGTGCAATTAAAAATGAAAAAGATGAAATCTCAAAGGACATGGCTGAACTCCAGAAGATTATTAGTAACTACTTTGAAAACCTGTACTCTAACACGTTGAACCATGGAGATGAAATGGATTGATTCCTAGATAGATATAAATTACCAAAACTGAACCAAGGATATATAAAACCCATGAATAAACCAGTGACAGGCAGTAAAATAGAAGCAGTAATAAAAACCTACTAAGAAAAGCTCAGGACCCAATGAATTCACCATTAACTTGTAAAAAAGCTTCAGGGAAGAGCTAATGTAATATTCCTCAAACTAACACAGTGGAAAGGAAAAGAGCACTCCCAAAGTCATTTCTGGAAGCTTCCATTATCCTGATTTCAAAACCAGACAAGGACCCACAAAGGAGAACTACAGGCCAATCTCTTAGCAATAATCACTCCTTGGAAGAACCTCATTGGCTGCCACACTGCCACTGTGCAAGCTAGGGCCAATCTCTTTCCTTAACACAGATGCAATGTACCCTGAGCAAGATACTGGCCAATGGAATGCCACAAACCATCAAAAAGATTGCACACCATGACCAAGAAGGCTTCCTCCCAGGGATGCAAAGATGACTCAACATGCAGAAATCAATAAATGCAGCATAAACACAAGCAGAGACAAAAATCACATGATCATCTGAATGAATGCAGAAAAGGTTTTGACAGTATCAAAAATCCATTCATGATGAAAAACCTGAAGAAAATCGGTATAGAAGGAATTTTCTAAATCTGATAAAAAGCCATTTCTGATAAACCGACTTCTATCATATTAAATGGGGAAAGGCTGAAAGCTTTCCCTCTAAAATCAGAAACAAGATGTAGATGTCTGCTACCACCACTCTTGTTCAACATAGTACTTGGAATTTTAGCTAAAGTAAACAGGAAAGCAAAAGAAGTAAAAGGGATACTACGTATATACGAAAGAAGTCAAATTATTGTTATTTGCAGATGACTGACCCTCTACATAGAAGACCCCCAAAGTTCCACCAATTGATGTCTAGAATAACCAAATCTAGCAGAATAACAAGATACAAAATCAACACAAAAAAGTCTTGATGTCATTGGCATAGGCAAGGATTTTCTGAACCAACCCCCAATTACACAAGAAATAATATTAGGATCAGCAAATGGGATTATATAAATATAAAAAGCTTCTGCACAGCCTAGGGAAAAAATCAATGAAATGAAGAGAAAATCCACAGAATGGGAAAAAAAAAAAAAAACCTGACAGATGTTCTTTGGACAGGGGACTAACATCTAGAATATATTTTAAAAATTACAAAAGATTAGTCTACCCTAAAAAGACCCAATCAAAAATGGGCAACTGAAATGAACAGACACTTCTCAGAAGAAGTATAAATGACTAATACATACATGAAAAAATGTTCAGCATCTATGGTCATTAGAGAAATGCAAATTAAAACAACACTAAGATTCCGTCTTACTCCATAAAGATTGGCTATCATCAAGAAATCAGTAACAAATGCTGGTGAGGCTACGGGGGAAAAGGAAGTCTTCTTCACTTGTGGTAGGAATGTAAACTAGTACAAGAATTATGAAATCAATATGGCACTCTCTTAAGACACTAAATCTAGAACTTTTATTCAGCCCACCTATTCCCATTCAGGTATCTTTCCAAAATAACTAAAGACATCATATTCCAGTGTATATATATACACATGTTTGAACTGCACAATTCATAATAGTTAAATCTTGCAAAGTCTTGCCTGTCCACCAACAGATGAATGTATAAAGAAAAATGTGGTATTTATACATAATAGGATACTGCTCGGCCATCAGGAAGAAGAACCTTGAGTCATTTATAGGAAAATGGATGTGTTTGAATCCATAAAGTAAAGTAAATCAGATACAAGTATTAAATAGCATATGTTTCTCTTATTTGAGAAACCAAAAACATAAAGAACAAAATACAGATAAATAACAGAAAATAGGGAGAATAGCTTTTTTGTAAATGGGAAGGGGACCAAGAGATTCAGAGAGAGGGGAGAGGGAAGGGGAAGGAAATCAGAAGAGAGTTGAGATGTGTTTTGTATATGTTCCAGTGTCCCATGAGGAACACAATGATTATACACTGCAAACATCCTTAGTAAGAATAATAAATGGGAAAAAT